CAGGCCCTGTTTCCTGTGGCCCCCGTGCCCCCCAGCCACAGCTGGATGTTCAGATGCTATGGCTATTACAGGAACAAGCCCCAGGTGTGGTCACACCCCAGTGACCCCGTGGAGCTCTGGGTCTCAGGTAAGGAGCCCGAGTCCTGTCCGCTCCATGTCCCTATGTTTGGTTAAAGATCCTTCCTAGGAGGTCCCCAACCTAGGACAGGAGTGAGGGCTTTAGGGGAGGGTCATCCGCAGGGGAATCCACCCCTCAAAGGGATGGATGGAGCACAAAGGGCCCTTCTGCCCCTGCCCCTTCCTTATGGCCATCACCAGAATCTCCAGGGAACCCCAGGGGCTGGGAGGGAGCACCTTGCCAGGGCCACAAGGAAGACCAGAAGACAAGTGTGAACAAAGACAGCATTGCTGGCTGGGGGTGGGGGGAGCTCTACCCCTCACCCTTTTCTTATGTTCAGATGCTATGGCTGTTACAGGAACAGCCCCCAGGTGTGCTCATACCCCAGTGAACCCCTGGAGCTCCTGGTCTCAGGTAAGGAGACTCAGTCCTGTCCCCTCCTTGTCCCTATGTTTGGTTAAAGATCCTTCCCTGGAGGTCCCCAACCTAGGACAGGAGTGAAGTCTTCAGGGGAGGGTCATCCACAGGGGAAGGGATGGAGCACAACGGGCCCTTCTGTCCCTGCCCCTTCCTCAAGCCCATCTCCAGATTCTCCAGGGGACCCCAGGGGCTGGGAGGGAGCACCTTGCCAGGACCACACAGAAGATCAGAAGACAAGTGTGAACAAAGACAGCATCTCTGGCCAGGGATGGGGGGTGCTCTACCCCTCACCCTTCTCTTGTCTTTTTTCCAGGATCCTCTGTGGACCCCAGCTCCCTACCCCCAGAGCTCACCTCCACGACTGGTGAGTCACGGAAGCCTCTTTGCTCTGGGGGAGCACAGACCAACCCAGAGCAGCTCAGAGAGCCTCTCAGAGGATCTAGCACCCCCTTACATACGCTCTACCCCCACCCTTCTCTGGTCTTTTTCCCAGGATCCTCTGGGGACCCCAGCTCCCTACCCCCAAAGCTCACCTCCACGACTGGTGAGTCGCTGGGGCCTCTTTGCTCTGGGGGAGCACAGACCAACCCAGGGCAGCTCTGAGAGCCTTTCAAAGGTTCTAGCAGCCCCTCACATATTCAGGGATGAGCTTGTGTTCTGGGGACTGAGGCTGGTGGGGCAGTCAAAGCCAAGGGAAATGTGGGGCCCAGCTTAGGGGAGCAGTGGTGGGGTTTCAATGGGGAGAAGGCAGGACCAGCTCTCACCTCCCCATCCTGGGCTTATGATGCTCAAACAGGTGGGGTCCACTGTCAGGAGCGGGGGTCTCAGTGCTCCCTGGGATGGTGATTTTATTATTTTTAATTATTATTATTATTATTACTTATGTACAATTCAGTGGTTTTTATTGCATTCAGAGTTGTACAATCTAATAATCACCACTATCTAATTTTAGGGCCTTTTCTTTTTCTTTCCTTTTAAAAAGACATACTCACCCTTAGCTGGTTTGACTCAATGGATAGAGTCTCGGCCTGTGTACTGAAGGGTCTTGAGTTCAATTCTACCTCAGTTGCAGGCTCCTACCTGGCCGGGGCCCTGGTCGGGGCATATGCAGTAGGCAGTCAATCCGATTTATCTCTCTGAGCCTCGGTTTCCTCGTTTGTGAAATGAATGGAAGGGGGGTTGGCATTCACATGTTGCTTGATTGTTATGAGGGTGAGAGGTGACTCATTCACAGACCCCCCAAACGTGCCTAACGCACAGTAGGTGTTCAGTTAGGTGGCATCATTGGCTCATTCATGACATCATTGTGTCCAAGGTTTTCAAAACTTCCATGAAATTCTGATCGGAGTCTCTGTGGCCTTCATCCTGTTGCTCTTCCTCCTCCTCCTCCTCTTCTTCCTCCTCAAGCATCGGAACAAACGCAGCAGGTCAGGTGAGTAGAGGATGGGAAGACCTTGTCTCCCTGAGAGGATTCCCATGTAAGTACAGTTGTGACAGGTGGGGTCCTGCGTGGAGGTAGCAGGAGTGCACTCGGAACCTGAGGAACCGTGTGGTGATGGGAGCCATGAGAAGGTGCCCTTGTCAGCCTGCAGTCAAGAGCAGTGGGGAGTGGGCATGGTGGTGAGGAATGGGGGTGGCGTTGAAGTGGTTGGGAGCTTCATTGCTTTGAGAAAATACGTAAAGGTATGGGGTGAAATGCCCGTGAAGAATTTAAAAATGTGCAAAGACAGTTGGCTAGAAAAAAATCGGAGGCGTTCCATTGGAATTGAAGATGTCAGTGTTGTTACCGAATACAAGTTTGACTGCCTGCCTGACGGAAGCTGAGGCAGGTGAGACAGGTGCTGGTGGAAAGGATAGACGTTTCATTCATGTGCAGACGATCTGAGAAGTTGGCGGACTTTTGTCCAAAAATACCATCTTAACATCTCTGGTCAAGTCGGTGACTTTTTAAAGAAGAGGGAAGGGAAGTGGGGACACGTAGGCAGCGTTCTTGCTGGTTCTGACAAAGATCTTGGTAGCAGCATGCTGACTCTCTCCATATCAGTCGCTCTGCTCCTTTCTGAACAGGAACTGGAACTGATGCAATGTACTAAAATAGAAGCTAAAATAGAGGTTGTTAGGGGAAAAAAAGAGGTTGTTCCTGTTTTTGTTTCAACAGACTTGTTTGTTTATTGGTTAGCCCAGTTAATTCTGGTTAGTACAATATTGCATAAAGATTATATGCTTTTCATTCTGTTACAGTGTGACCTAATGACAAATTATATATATACTGAGTGGCCAGATTTTTATGACCACCACTAATTTGCCTACAAAATTTGTGCACTGGGTGTGTGTGTTGGGGGTGTCTCTCAGCCCAGCCTGCACCCTCTCCAATCTGGGACCCCTCGGGGAATGTCTGACTGCCGGTTTAGGCCCGAGGATCGGGCTTAAACCAGCAGTTGGACATCCCTCTCACAATCCGGGACTGCTGGCTCCCAACCGCTCACCTGCCTGCCTGCCTGATCACCCCCTAAGCACTCCCTTGCCAGCCTAATCGATGCTTAACTGCTCCTCTGCCAGCCTGATTGCCCCTAACTGCTCTCCCCTGCCTAAAAATGTCAGTTGATAACTACCCTCCCCAGCTTGATCATAATAATCTGGCCACTCAGTGTGTGTGTGTGTGTGTGTGTGTGTGTGTGTGTGTGTGTGTATATTTGACATAGAAATAGTTAGAGGTATAAGTGTTTGCACTGTGTGTACTGGCTCAGACCTAGACATAGTGACAGCCCACTAGAAATAAGCACACTGATCCTCTATGAGAGAGCAGAGGTGTAATAAGAACAGACTTAGACTGTAAACATGTTTTTTCGGGTTCATACAATTTTATTTAAAACAACCATGCAAGTTTGAGGCAGTACCTTTTAACTTGGTTTATGTTGAATTCCAAATGAACCAAGGTGGGGATCACAGCCTCTGAGGTAGAGTGGAGCCCCGGGTGCCAGGTTCTGGGCTAGTTTGGAAGCTAATTTCCAACTTTGTACAGGTGCTTCGAACCTTGAAGTGAAGACCAGAGCACTGCAGAAAAGGTAATTTCTTCCCCAACCCCTCCCACCTCTACCTGTAGCTCCTTCAGCAATGTCTAACACTCCTGCCCTCCTACCTTAGCTCCAGCTCCATGGTTGATGTCCAGGAGCAGAACCAGTGTGCCAGTAATCGTGGAGAAGGTGAGGTCTTTGTGGGGCATCAGGGCAGGAGGAGTGCTTGGGAAGGCTTCTGGGCTTAGGGATGAGGAAGCATGAAAGTCCCAAATATGTGTGATCCCAGGCACATCCCCGCCCCTCAAGGAACCTCAGTCTTCCCACCTAAATTTCAAGGAGAGTGTGGGATTGGGGGATTTCAGGAACTTCTCACCACCCCAATCACCCACCTGCCTCTTGCTCTGCCCCCTCCAGGACACTCCATCTGAGGATGCCCAGGATGTGACCTACGCCCAGCTGAATCACTTGACCCTCAAACGAGAGACAACTGCACCCCCTCCTCCCCCATCAGACCAGCCCCAAGTTGAGCCCAGCGTGTATGCTTCTCTGGCCATCCACTAGCCCAGGAGGGACTCAGACCTCACACTCCAGAGAGGGGAAATGCAGGGACCCCAGAAGGCATAGGAGCTGCCCCCATGGACACTCAGCTACTGACCTGAGCCTGAGGACGTTATGTAAGCAAGCAGGATGTCATGAGACCTTAGACGTCACCTAATTCTGCAGAAGAAGATAAAGATGATTTCCATGTTTTTAGAAACAGCAATACACTTCTACATAACCAGTGATCGAGATAAGAAAATCACAAATGAAGATAAAACCTTTTTTTTTACTTAAAAGATAATGTGACTCATATTCTTCCTTGAATGGTAATGCACATGTTACACATCAACTGGGAAAATTAAGTGCCTAAATGGAGTTACTAGAAAGAGAAGAAAGCCTGACACCCAGCCACCTAGGTGAGCATTTAAAGAAGTCAAAGAATAACAAATGTATCCCTCCACAGTGGATGAAAGGATATAAAAATTATAAGAACATATATTTATTTGGAAAAGAATAAAAAAAAAAGAGAAAAATCTATTGTGTTTGTCTTCCCCGGCTGCCATAACAAAGGACCACAGTCTGGGCAGAGCAGAAAACAACAGAAATCCATTCTCCCGCTGTTCTGGAGGTTGCAAGTCTGAGATCAAGGTGCCAGGAGGGTTGTGTCCTCTACTGCCTCTCTCCTTGGGTATGAATGGCTGCCTTCTAGCTTCTGCTTACATGGTCTTTCCTTGGCGTGTGTGTGTGTGTGTGTGTGTGTGTGTGTGTGTGTGTGTGTGTGTGAAGGGGAGAGGGAGAGAGAGCGAGACCCAGTGTGTTTCTACTGTTAAGGACACTAACATATCTGATCAGGGTCCCACCCTTATGATCTCATTGAACCATAATTACTTCCTCATAGGCCTTATCTCCATATACAGCCACAGGGGGTTTAAGGGCTTTACCATGAATTTTGAGGGGGGAGGACATCAACATTCAGTCCACAACATTCTGAGCGTCCCTGCTCCCCAATTTTGTGTCCTTCTTCCACGCAAAATACATTCATTCCAGCTCTATAGTGATCCAAATCGCCACGCTTTCCAGCATCACTTATCCAGTTGAAAATTCAAAGTCTCATCTACCTATTGTCTACGTCAGGCATGAGTGAGACTCAGGATAGGACTCCTTTTAAGGAAGAATCCTTCTGCAGTCATGAACTTGTGACTGAGACAAGATTCAAAATGCACCACAGCAGCAGATGTAGGAGAGATATTCCTATTCTGAAAGGGAAACATCGGAAAGACAAGAGTGATGGGTTCCAAGCACGTTCAACATCCAGCAAGGCAATGCTTCCTTAGATCATTTTTGTCTCTTTTGGGTTCAATTTTTTTAAATTCTATTTTTCAGTTACAGTTTACATTCAGTATTATTTTGTATGAGTTTCAGCATAGTGATTCGATGAGATGTTCTGCCCTCCAGAACATGGGGTGGCAGCGTCACCTCCATGGCGTAGCTGGGTGACACGGTACCGTCATCTCCCTGTGGGGACCCTTTGCCCTGTTGAAACCAAGGAAGTGATTCTAACTTTGAAGTCAATGAGGCAGCCCTGATCACCTCTGAATTGCCTTTGGGATCATTCTTTCCTTTTCTTGAAGAACAATAGTGTTACAGGGTCTGGACCCAGAGCTAGGCTACCTTGGGCCAATTGGTA